GAAGATGGGGGACAGAGAGTGCGCGTACTTGTGTTTGTCCTTTGTCCCTCTTGTTCCCCTTCTCCAGCGATTACTATTAATATTTACTCCCTTGTGATGATTCTTGAGAATATAAGAGTCTTGTTTCAGCAATAGAATCAACCGAAGAGTAAACGCCGTGTGGTATGCTTTTAAAGAGATCGTGCAATGATGTTTGAGCTGGTAAGACATTCGAGCTTAAACGGACCTTATCGAACCTAGAAAAATATGAAAAAAAAAAAATGATCCCCCCTTCCGAAAATTCGAATTATTTTCAGAGCTGGAAGCGAATTAAAATTACAAAACGGATCAAAACATTATTGCTCCGTGACACACTCGGCGAATTTCAATGATAACGGGGTTGGAGTAAAGCGGTTGGCCAATTGGTTCAGGGTTAGGCTCAAGGCTGCCGCAATGAGGGCTAGCCGAGGACGCGAACGCATCATATCGCCTTGTCGGCCTCGTGGCTACAGTCCTCTGCATCGTCGTTGGTTCACACTCCAAGCGCGACCAGCGTTATGAATGGATCTGTGCTGTTTATACTTCAGCGCTGATTAACCCAAGGCTAGCCGGCGTAGAACGGTGTCCATCGTCCACTTCGCCACGCCCGGGCGTAGAGTCCAGCGCGATTGTGCGGTGAAAGTAGCCTTTCGCTGAAGTGAGTTAAGTTGCAGCGTGCTATGCTTAGAAAAAATCTCGGGGGGAACGAGTGCAAAGAAGCATTTATTTTATATCAACTTTCGCTCAGAAGTGTGAAACTTGGTATGGAATACTTTTACACAAAACGAGAGTACATCAAATCTCTCTTTGACAAATTTAATGCACTCGCGTTTCTTAGCAGCCTTCTACATTGATTTACGTATGATATTGAAGGGAACGGATTATCCATAAATTACACCGTTTAAGCGTTAAAAATTTTAGCGCGCTCCGAATAAACATACCGTATTTCCACTTTGTTTTCGTCGCACTCCGCTTCTACATTTGGCGTTTGTTATTTTGATCGGGAACGGATACGGCCGAGATACTACTAGCACATGATCATACATAGCTCATAAACGAGGTCGTCTTGAATTCAAATTAACTCTACGTCATCGAGCTTCAAGCATTGGCTGGCAAAGCGCTTCTGGCTCGTTAGGCTTAGCAAGCTTCTGGGGGTAGCGCGTAGAGTCGCCTACCTACAGACTCGCCTAATCGAGCGCAAGGACGGTGTGCACACCAACGCAAAAAAAGTGAAAGCCGTTTACAACTCCCTGTAACGCCGAATTAGAGCGCAGCTCTTGAGGAAGAGGAGGGAAGGGTACTGAGGGGGGTCAAGTGACCTTGGGTGGGGGTCACGTGATCTAGGGCGGTCACGTGACGATGACGATGCCGATGACGCCATCAGTAACAATGACGATGCGGATATCGATGACGTCATCAGTGACGTCACCGATGACGTCATCAGTGATGATGACAATGACGATGCAGATGCCGGTGACGTCATCAGTGATGATGACGATGACGATGCGGATGCCGGTGACGTCATCAGTGACGTCACTGATGACGTCATCAGCGATGATGACGATGCGGATGCCGGTGACATCATCAGTGATGATGACGATGACGATGCGGATGCCGGTGACATCATCAGTGACGTCACTGATGACGTCATCAGTGATGATGACAATGACGATGCGGATGCCGGTGACGTCATCAGTGATGATGGCGATGACGATGCGGATGCCGGTGACGTCATCAGTGACGTCACTGATCACGTCATCAGTGATGATGACGCTGACGATGCGGATGCAGGTAACGTCATCAGTGACGTCACTGATGACGTCATCGGGGGTCACGTGACCCTGGGGGTTACGTGACTTGGGGAGCCACGTGACTTTGGGTGTCACGTGACCTTGGGGGTCACGTGACCCTGGGGTGACCTTGGGGAGTCACGTGACCCTGGGGTCACGTGACCTTGGGATGACCTTGGGGGCCAAGTGACCTTTGGATGACCTTGGTTACGCCGACGCCGCTCAAGCCGGGAACGGGCCCCTAAGAGCTGCGCACTAAAACATGGGGACACTAAGCTAAAAGGCGAGAACTGCACACCACAAAAGGCAGATTCAAATCGAAGAAATAAGCATCGCGGACATGCTCCCACTAGCCCGGGACCCCAATTCCCAAATATGGGGCATTGGGGCTGGCGCTCCCTCAGGTCAATGCGCTAGGAGCTCTACTGCGTACGGGCGCCGGCTCGTTTGGTCGGTTCCATCACTAGGAGGCGGGCATGTCGCGTTTTAGAGCGCAGCTCTTAGGGGCCCGTTCCCGGCTTGAGCGGCGTCGGCGTCGCCGTCGGCGCCGGCGTAACCGCAACCCTCGTAACCCTCGTGAGGGTTACGAGGGTTACGAGGGTTAATCTCATGAGGGTTACCCTCACGAGGATCACGAGGGCCACGAGGGTTACTTACCCTCGTAACCCTCACGAGGGTTACGAGGGTTAGTTACCCTCAAAAGGGTTACCTCCACGAGGGTTACCCTCACGAGGGTTACTTACCCTTGTAACCCTCACGAGGGTTACGAGGGTTAGTAACCGTCGTGAGGGTAACCCTCGTGAAGGTAACCCTTTTGAGGGTTACGAGGGTTAGTAACCCTCGTGAGGGTAACCTTCACGAGGGTTACCCTCACGAGGGTCACGAGGGTTATGAGAGTTACCCTCACGAGGGTTACTTACCCTCGTAACCTTCACGAGGGTTACGAGGGTTAGTAACCCTCGTGAGGGTAACCTTCACGAGGGTTACCCTCACGAGGGTCACGAGGGTTATAAGAGTTACCCTCACGAGGGTCACGAGAGTTACCCTCACGAGGGTCACGAGAGTTACCCTCACGAGGGTCACGATAGTTGCCCTCACAAGGGTTACTAGGGTTACCCTCACGAGGGTCACGATGGTTACCCAGGTGAAGTGACCCCCCCTGGGGTCGCGTGACCTGGGGATACCGAGGTCACGTGACCCCCCGTTGACATCATAGCCACTGATGACGTCATCAGTGACGTCACTGATGACGTCACCGGCATCCGCATCGTCATCGTCATCATCACTGATGATGTCATCAGTGACGTCACTGATGACGTCACCGGCAACCGCATCGTCATCATCATCACTGATGGCGTCATCAGTGACGCTACTGATGACGTCATCGGTATCGTCACGTGGCCCCAGGTCACGTGACCCCCCCGACGTCACGTGACGCCCCAAGGTCACATGACTCCCACAAGGTCACGTGACCCCCAAGGTCACGTGACCCCCCGCCCCCCGAGGTGACTTGACCCACCCCCCAGTACCCTTCCCTCCTCCTCCTCAAGAGCTGCGCTCTAATTCGGCGTTACAGGGAGTTGTAAACGGCTTTCATTTTTTCCCCTGTTCTTGCTACACATTTGAGACATATTTTTTACAATTTTCATCTTCCTCGCTCAATGAAGACGCTTTCTTGGAAAACTAACGATTGTTTATGGAGGATACACGTCAACTACCGTGAATACAAATATTATGATTGGTCTTGCCGATGCACTACCGATCACAAAATGGTTACCGATGACGTCTACTGCTGCTCTTTTTCAACGCACTGCCTCGCCACCGGACGTGGAGCTGTGTTTGCCTGGTGGAATTAAAGTAGGATGCAGTAATATTTCGTGGCTACTACTACTACTACTAAGAACGTCTCCTCAGAGCAGGTTATCCGCAAGGTCTACTGAGCACCATTCTTGTTCAGTTAATTCTAACCACCCAAAGGCCCCGTGCCCCACGTAGTAAGCCTTCACGCGTTATCTGCATTCCCTATGTGCACAACTCGGCGCACAGACTGAAGGCAATTGCAGCGCGCTTCAACGTTTCGGTTGTCTTCTCGTGCAAGTTGCGCCTGAAACAACTGTGCAGGCGCGTGAACAATAACGAATCCTTTAAAAGATGTTCTATCAAACACGCTCATCAGACCGTTCCCTGTGAAGAGGGGGTGGTATACTCCATCCCTCTCTCCTGTGGCGACCGATACATTGGACAGACAGGTCGTTGCCTTAACACCCGCCTACGAGAGCACGTCCTCGAGGTCTCTCGTGCTTCGGACGACACTTTTCAGCCAATAGTGGTTCATCAACGCCTCTGTACGAACTGTGAAGCCCGGTTCCAGGACACCTGCACGATTGGGAGACATAAGAACAAGCTCGGGAGAGAGATCATTGAGGCATACAAGATAGCCCATGACGATCACAACATCGCTGCCCCTTCTCTCGCCTTGTCCAGAAATGAGATCAACTACCTGAAACCAGAGCTGGATTAGCCAAGGGGCGCTCTATCTCAATTTGTCAATAGTGTTTTTCTCTTTCTTTTTTCTTTTTTCTTTTTTTCTTTTTTTCTTTCTTTTTTTCTTTCTTTCTGAATTCTTTTTATCTTTAGTGTATTGGGTGTAAATTTGTGTTTTTCTTTTCCGGGTGTATATAAATATATTAATTTCCGCATCTTCCTCTTTAGTCTCAAATGTTAGGAAGAAGATAGCACTATTGAAGGAGACACCAGTAAATGTGTGTTGCTAGTTGAAAGAACTGTGCTGTCTGTCCTTGTCCTTAAGTGTTTTTATTCTTTCTTTGACTCCCGTATTTTAACCAACACGCTCTTTCATCTTTGTCACTTACCCCCGAGCAGTTAGACCCACTAATTAGATAGCAACATAATTAGGGCAGAAGCCCATATGTCGTTAGGCATATGAGAATCCCTTAAAGGATTCTCATTTGCCATTTTAAGTAGACGCACTGCGGAAATTGCGAGTGGAAGAATCCCGAGGGATATTGACTTGGTCGGCTAGCTGGAATGCCCAGTCGCCTTGCAAATGTGTCTGTAATACTCTGCATGCCCTTGTCGGAGTATCACATGGCAAGCTTGTCGGTAACCCGTTGAAGGAGGCTCTTTTCGCTGATATCTCCTGTAGATATGCGGGCCCGGCCCGCAACCGATAGTGCGTCCTCTCGGTTGTTGGGCCACCAGTGTACAGAAAGTGAGCGGGAGGAACGGGTGAGTGCTTAACTTGTTTTCGTTCACTACCGCTTTAAATCCTCAACAAAATTAGGCCTTAAAACTATTCGTCATCGTATTCCGGTTATTTTGATTGTTTCTAACTCATTCTGTCGAAGCCCTGGAGTGCAGAAAATAAACTAACGCCATAGCGAATGTATTACGGCAGACCCGGAATAATTCTTGACGGTTAGTTTATATCCATTCTTAAGCCTAAAACGAACTTTTTATTTTATTATTATTCACTAAAAATATAAGTAATAGAAATTATAGTTTTTTTTTACACTCCCATTACAACCCCTTCATAAGACAAAAGTATTTTAGGCCAGCACAGCCGGAGATTATTTGACCACACACATTTATAGTCTATTCGTTTTCCCCGTGCCGATGAACACACGTTACTTTCTTTAATATTTCAGTAATTTTTTTTTTGAGTTATAGACGTTGAATGTTAGATTATGTTATGTACAGACATTGAGAATAACCTAGCTTCTGTTGAGGTGAGTACCATAATAACAACCTTAAATTCAATGACAAGCTAAAAGACGATATCAAAACAATTTCGAAAGGTACCTGCATTGAGCTGGACTTTATAATAGAAAAAAGATAAACAATATCGAGCTAGCTAAAACTGCCTTCTTCCCGGCAAGAAAGAAAAAATATTTTTAAACTGGATAAAATTACCTGTACAGTTGAAGATATGTTGGACGGCTTGAAAAGCAGCAGCTTAAGGAATAACCTTATAACGTTCGTACAAGATGAAAAAAAAAAATTAGAGACGACAAAAGTAAAGCTTCGAAGCCCCGGTGTATATTTAAAAACTTTTTCTATCGTCTTCATTCCTGGAATTGTAAAGCTTCATATTGGGCAGAGCTGCCAGACTACAGGGCGACCTTGACGCCGGTAATTTTCAAAATTGTGGACTCGATTGTCAATCTACAAATACAACAAATGTCACAAAGTGCGTGGCTATAACTTTTTTTATAAACAGTGGCTCGTTTAGACTGTTGCAATGAACAAAAACAAAAACAGACGCCAACTACTCTGGTACAATAATGCAATTTGTGTAACAATGGTTTTTCACGGGAAACGTGCATTGTCTCGTAAAAGGGGTGGGGAGCTCTAAAATTGTGTTATGCCGAAAAGTCTTACCGCCGATTAACTCTATGCTGATTTGCTTAGCCAGGTGATGACGTCAGGCCCCCTACCTCGACGCTGATTGGCTGGTCCGGGCTCTCGAAGAGCGCCAGGTGTTTAACACCCGGTTTGGCGCCAGTACCCCCATTTCAGGAATGGCTATCGAGTGTACATGCCAGGCGTTAAGAGAGTCGCTATATTATCCGATGAAAAGCACCGAGGGCGTAGACGTTAACTCCAGAGGAACCGAACTGAAACCATACGTTTCACGTGCAACATCGCAATCGCCCAGCTATTTGGCATGCATCTTTTTCAAGGTGCGTATAAAGAAAACTTGTACACCTGCAGGGCAAGGAAAATTGCGATGGAGGCCCGTTACACGACGGCGTTTTTCTGGCTTGGGATGACAGCACAAAAGCGAAATTTGTCAGCAATCAAGATTAGTATTTTTTGAATAAAACCGGAGGGATGTTTCAAGCAAACTAGATGTTCTTAAAAGGCGTTTATCAGTACCCCGGCTGGCCTTGGTTTTCTTGCTGAGACGTGGATATCCCGGAGCATTCTTGATAGCGAGGTTGTCCCCACTGACAACACGATAATACAGAAGGACGGCGACACACGTGGTGGTGGGGTTAGATGGCTATCAGTAGGTACTACAAACATTGAAATAGCTGATACGTTGAAATTATTTTTTCGGGGGGTTAAAATTTTACTTTTACGATCGCGTATGCCTTGTCGACGGTGTATGCGGGCGTGAGCATGCGCTATTTTTTTCTCTTGACACCCTAAACCGTTATGAATATAATATTGTAAACCTTAAAAGAAGAAATATTGTAACAGATGGACTGGGTATTCAAAAAAAAATATGATCATCACTGCTGTAAGGGACACATAATTGCCCTAAGATTACTTGGATAGTGCGATAGTTGCAGCCTGGAGCAGATAGAGAACACACGTGTTGTCATGGTTCATCACAATGCTTACTTGATCTTAAATTCATTTCATTTCATTTTATTACCTTAAAGGGCCCGTTAGGGGTACTACATAAGGGGTGGTGTTACATATAAAAGAAGTTTAACAAACATTCCTGTCGGAAGGTGGTTGACGAGAGTCTCCTTGAAGACGGATGCACATGTGATGGTGGCGACGTGGTGGGGAAGGCAGTTCCAGTTTGCTGCTGCTTGAGAAAAAAAGAAGGCTAAAAAGGTTTTAGTGCGAATACGTGGGAGAGTTACTTGAACTGGATGACCAATGCGCGGAGATATACCTGAATGGGTGACATTGTGAGGTCCGTCATTGAGCGAGCTGTAGTAAAACCTCTGAAATAGGTAGAGGCTTGAAGTGCGAAGGCGAAGAGAAAAAGGTGTTAGGCCGGATTCTGCTTTTAAAGGTGAAATGCTGATATCGTATGAGTAAGCAGAATAAATTAACATTGTAGATCGATTTCGGACAGATTGAAATTCGTTACTAATATATGCTTGGTGAGGGTTCATTATGTCAGATGAGTGTTCGAGTTTGGCAAACCGATGGTTTTGTCCCTAACTGTAGGGTAGACGTTTCTGGTGGAATCCTTGATAGTTTAGTGATCCTGGAGTCCGAACAGTTATGAACGAACAACTCATCTAAATTTTCTAAAATATGATGTTGTGACAAAGCCGACAAGGGTAGCATTCTTCGTTACTTAGATATGAAGTGTGACTATTTTATAGCTTTTTATGGCCAATCTGCCGACATTTATAATTAGCCATTAATTTGAGTGGTTACAAGCAATTTATAACCGCTGCCTGACCATGAGACATTCTTCATTTCAGTCGTTTACCATAGAACACTCATATAGGTGACAAGAAAAGTAGCTGAATTTCTTAAAAGCTAGGTTTTCAGTAAGCTAACTTATATATATTAAAATATGAGGACTTCCCATTCACATATTCTTTTTTTTCTGACAAATTAGATTTTCCCGTCACACTTCAGATGAAACACAATCGGAATGAATCTCCGGCTCAGTCAATAACTCAACATTTTTACTAAAATGCAGTAGAAAAACGCTCTGCTGATTGCCCCATTTAATTCAAATAGCAGTCGCACTACTTAAGAACTAAAAATATTTATTTCCAGTACATTGCCTAATACAACAATTACGAGATGGTAAAAATATTCCACACTTTTTCAGCAAGTTCAAAATATCTTAATTACATTTGTTTATGACTGAAGTAATCATTTAAAACAAGAAGTTTGCCCTTCCCATTAAGTTTCTTTGGCAGGCACAGCCAATATGTTGAATTTAATGGTCGGCTTACGGGAGACAGCTCCTTAAAATGTTACGTTATAAAAAAGTAAAAACAAAATATTTACTTCCCGCGCATTTGTTTATGTAGCAACCGTCAGCTTTAGTTTTAAGCACTGATTCGAGTAAAATGCTGCAACTTTGCGTCTTCTCTGACACAATCTGAGGAATATGTGTCATTGAAAGTTTATATCTCGTAGCATAAAAACAATCGAAAAATAGGTAAAAAAATAAACGACTAAAAAAAGTTAAATGCTCTGCGACATAATAAATCTTCGCTTATAATCTTTATATCCAAAAATGTTAGGATGGAGGAGCTCTGTAGGCATTGCATCATGCTACGCACACAATTTTCAACACCCGCAAACTTGGTTTGAGAACTCGCACAATGAAAACTAGAACCGAGTAGCTTCTTAGGCATCTCATTTTAGAGTACTCTTTTTAATTGGTCTTTGCATGGTCACTCAATTTAGTGTTTCTACGATAAATGTCGCAGCAACGAGAGCGATCAGGGAAAAAAGACAGTCAAGCTGGTATACTTCCTCCACAGTATTCCCAAAAGTAGGCGAAAAGAATTGTGTGTGGTGGTTTGTTTATTTTTTCCTTAGTCTCGGCTCTATCATCAAAATATATAACGATTACGTTAATAGCTGATCACCATTTTGCGAACTAGTGTTTTTTTTTTTTATTTATTCACGAGTTGCCTTGCATTGCCAGAAAGCATAACAGCAGAAGTAATAAACGAAAAAAAAAAAAGCTTTTCTTTATTCGCAGAGCACACTTGCTTCCTCCACAGCTTGTTTTATTCTTGGATGGTCTAGATAAAAAATAATTCGCGTTCATGTTCGTTCTGGCACGGTATTTTCTTATTTGAAAACCATGATCCGTCCGAGTGGAAACAGTATGTTTTTAATAAGAATTTTTTGTTAATACCCGGCCTCCCACTAAATATCAAGAATAAAATTGTATGTCTCAGTTTGGTCTGTCGGGCTAAGAGCAGTTCTAAATTTAATGCAATTATCATTTCAGTAAAACTATATTTTTGTCGGTATCGTCCCAGAACAAACCTCTCTGCCCTATTTTTAATTGTTTCTAGTTTTTCAATTAGATATTTCTGTGCAGTGTTCCATACAACACCTGCACATTCCATAATTGGTCTAACATATTTTAGATATGCCGCTTCCTTCAAGTTGGTTTCTGAATATCTTAAATTTCACTGAATAAAGTTCAATACCCTGTCAGCCCTTAAGACAACGTCGTCAACTTGAGCGTTCCATGAACACTCGTTGGACAATGTGACACCCAGATATCTGTACATACATTTGGTTTTCATCAAGTCGTTACTCACATTGTGTCAAGTATCAATGCGTACATTTTGTTTTCAGGAAGTCGTTACTCACATCGTATCGAACATTAATATTCTTCTCATTTTTAGTAAAAGTTAGATGGACACACCGTCTTGGGTTCAAATTCATTATCCATTTAAAACACCCGTTTTCAACACATATCAGGAAGGACAGTTTGTCATAGTTCCGCGTCTTGTTCACTCGCAATGAATTTATACAAAACATAATCACCG